AATAATAATAATAATAATAATAATAATAATAATAATAATAATAATAATAGTCAATATATAAAAAATATATATAAAAAACAAAACTAAAAATAAAAAGAACTAAGGGTCCATTTGATTGTAAGAACGAAATTTGGATGGAGAGAAAAAGAATTTCAGAGAATTGAATTGTCTAAAATTTAATTTATTGAAAATTGTTAATTAAATATGTTTGATTGATATAATTTTCACTTGAAAAATATTGTAATTTTGCATTTTTTGATATTTGTTTGGCTTTTTTTTTTTTATGAAAATTGTCAATTAAATAAATAAAATTTATTATAATTGTGGATAGAATTTGTTTCCACTGCAAAAAAAAAAAAAAAAAAAAAATGGTTGAAAAGTCCAATTCCCACCAAAACCAAAGGAAAATCAAATCCTTAAAAACCAAGAAAATGTAGTCACGTGGGGCTTAATTGGAAAACCAATATCATGAAAAATTTTGACCATCAAACATACCATTTAAGTGGAAAATGAATTTTTTTTTTTCCATTTTTCCTGGAAAAAGAAGCCTATCAAATAGGCCCTAAAGTCCAAACAAACTTTTTTCTCCCCCTTTTCTTGCTCATGTCTTTTTCCTTTTCTATTTCCAATCATAATTAGGGTTTTCTTAAATTTTGAAATAAAATAAATAAATAAATATTGAATGTGAGAGTTCGTTTTTCATTTATGGGTCAAAATATTATTTAGTGCATTTTTTTCTAAATAATTAAATTAAAATATAAGTAACTTTAAAGTATGAATCCTATCGAATGTGTTGATAATAAACAAATAATAATTGTAGATCTCACAAAATGTATAATAAAAAATATGTTTGATAAAAAATAATTGAATTATAATCCCTTCGCTCATACAGTCCTATTATCAGGAACGATTTCATAGCAATATACTTTATGAATAAAATAATAAAATATTTATTTATAGTATTTTTATTTAATCCGTGTTTTGTATAGCTCAACAAGTTG